AGAATATTATAATTTATGCATTGATTTTGTGAATTGACAAGTATTATAGACAAACTTGGTGCTGGATTGAAGATAATCCATGGAATCAATATGTTGTAGGCCTTACACACTTGGTGCTGGATTGAAGATAATCATAAAGTGAAGTGTGTGGACTACATGAAGAACACATTTTAAGAATGTTTAAAAACTTTAGTGTCAGAAATTATTTTGTAAGATCTCTTGACACTATAAAGTAGTGAATTATGGATAGCCATCAATTATCTTGGCCATTCATTAGTAATGTGAATCATGTGATATGAGATCCAAGACAATACACAACAATCAGGGGTGTGTTTGGTAGGAAGGAAAATGTTTTCTATGGAACCTCGAACCAGGGGCGGAGCCACGTAGGCTCCAGGGTGTCCAATTGGATAAATACTAATAAAAATGATATATATTTTTATTTGATAAATACTAGTCGACACTACCTTATCTTGCAAGTTCATGTAGGGCCTATAAATAGTGGAAAACATAAGATTTAGCAATCATAAGGAAAATATGATAAAAATTATTACAAACCTTATTCATATGGTAATCCACAATTACTTCTTCTCCACATTCTCAAAATTCAATAATAGTACTACACCATGGAGAATCTTCATTTCTACTATTCTTAGCAAATGGAATAGTAGTATAAGAAACAATAAACCATTTCCTCCAAGTCCAAAATCATGGCCTATTATTGGAAGCCTTCCTCAAATCTTTCTAAAAAATAAGCCATCATTTATTCATTGGATACACACAATTATGGAGGAAATGGATACTGAAATTGCTTGCATTCGTCTTGGTAATGTTCATGTCATTCCTGTAACTTCTCCTGAGCTTGCTTGCGAGTTCTTGAAGATCCAGGACTCTGTTTTCTCATCCAGGCCTATTTGTATGTCCGCGAGCCTTATTAGCAATAGCTATATAACTTCTATTTTCCTCCCCATTGGTGATCAATGGATGAAAATGAGGGGAATTCTTGCTTCTCATGTGCTATCACCAACATCATTTCAATGGCTTCGTTGTAAAAGGGATGAAGAGGTTGACAACCTTCATCGATTCGTTTACAATAATCAATCTACTAGTATTAATTTGAGGAAAGTGACAAGATGTTATTGTGGAAATGTAATTAGGAATATGATTTTCAGCAAGAAATCCGCTTTATTTGAAACTATAGAAGAAGTTGATGCACTTTTTACACTTCTTGAATATCTTCATTCTTTTGGTATATCAGATTACTTACCATGGTTAAGTGTATTTGATTTGGATGGTCACAAAGCAATTATCAAGAAAGCCTATGCTACAGCAACAAAACATATTGATATTGAAGTTGATCATAGGATACAAATATGGAAAGATGGCAACAAAACTTTGAAACAAGACATTCTTGATATTCTTATCATGCTCAAAGATATCAATGGAAAATCCATTGATGAATGTTAAAGAGATTAAGGCACAAGTGCTTGTAAGTATACATTCAATTACTAAACTATTGTGAATTGTGTGATCACCTTTATGGTCAACCTTTCAAAATTTGCTTATTTTGAAAAGCGTTTTTTTGTACTTCTAGAAAAAGTACTTTTGAAGGATAGTCATTTATATTTAGCTAATCATTTTTATCAATATTAGTACAATAATTGATTTTGACCAAGGCTTTAAAAGTGTTTTCTGAAAGAAAAAAAAATTAGCTTGTGAAAAACAACTTCTGATACTACTCAAAAATATTTATTCTCTTAAACGTTTGACCAAACACCTTAACTTTCTGAAATAAATTAAACACTTTTGATTTCCAAAAACTTGACCAAATAGGCAATGAATTATACTAATTCAGACCCTTAAATAGACTGTATATTTATAGACAATGTATCAACTCAAAAAATAAAATAAAAAACATAAATTAATTCTCATCTAATCAGAAAGTGTTGACATGACAATAAGATTGTTTACAAACAAATAATGTATAGGAACTCATGTTGGCAACAGTGGATAACCTTTCAAATGCAGTTGAATGGACATTTGAAGAAATGTTGAATCAACCAAAGTTAATGCAGAAGGCCGTAGAAGAACTCAACACTGTTGTTGGGATTAATAGATTGGTTCAAGAATCAGATTTGCCAAGGCTAAATTATGTCAAGGCTTGCATAAAAGAGGCCTTTCGACTCCATCCAATATCGCCTTTTAATGTTCCTCACGTGTCTGTCTCTGATACCATCGTCAGTAAAAAGTACTTCATTCCTAAAGGGAGTGTAGTGCTATTAAGTCGTCTTGGACTTGGCCGGAATCCAAGAATTTGGAAGGATCCATTAAAGTTCAAGCCGGAGCGCCACCTCAAAATGGAAGATGGTGGTGAAGTAGTTCTCACTGATTCAAACTTACATTTGTTATCATTTAGTATTGGAAGACGAGGTTGTCCAGCTGTGAAACTTGGCTCAACAATTACTACAATGTTACTTGCTAGGCTTCTTCAAGGATTTACTTGGAGTTTACCACTAAATTCAGCATGCAATGATTTAATTGAGTCATCTAAGATGAATCATTTTTCTACCTTACCACTTCTTGCTCAAGCAAAACCAAGATTAGCTAGGGCCATGCATCTTTAACATTGCACACGTTTATTAGTAGAGTTTTAATTGACATAAGTTTATGTAGCTCTAAAGTCAATTCAATAACAATAGCTTATTCACTTTACGAAAAGGTAACATCAATCTAAAGAACTCAATTTATGAGTTCAAATTTCGACAGAAACAAAAAGCTAGGTGATTTCAATTAAAATTTCCTTATAATTAATGTACCAAGAAATCTTCAAACTATTTGACTGATTCACAATATAGACATGGAATAGATCAACAGAGCTGTAGAAACATGACTTTATAACCACTTGAAACATATTAGATTTTACATATCATCTTGTCATATATAATATCGCTTTTACCAACAAAAAAAAAAAAATCATCTTCAAGCTAAGAAAGTGTTCTGATAAAACATCTATGAGAGTACAAAAAAGAACAGCTCTTGATTTTTCTTTTTGATATTTATTTTGCCGTGTATACGGAGTTCGGACATACAATTTTTACAATTTCTTGAAAATCAATTTACATATTTAGAAACTATGAAAAAAAATTAATATAAGTCACAAAAATTTACAATTTAAAATATCAAACAACATATAGATAAATTGTAGTAAAAAAATTTCTTATTTAATTTTCAAGAGTTGAACTATCTCATAGAAAACAATGATTATTATATAGGTTAATTTACCCTATGTAAAAAGAACTTATACACAGTTATCCATGTACAAAAGCATATACTCATTGGAGATATACAAGAACATCAACTCTTGTATCACCAATGAATAAACTAAAAATTAATTAAAAGGAGAACAACAAAACGTTTAAGAGCTAATTACTTAGATCACTCTAATTTATAATATTATGTATCTTATTAGATTTTGGTGCATCAATATATATTCAATTACTTGGAGTTTACCACCAAATTCACCATGCAATGATTTAATTGAGTCATCTAAGATTAATCATTTTTCTACCTTACCACTTCTTGCTCAGGCAAAACCAAGATTAGCTAAGGCTATGTATCTTTAAGATTGAACATGTTTATCAGTAGAGTTTTAATTGACATAAGTTTATGTAGCTCTAAAGTCAATTCAATAACGATAGCTTATTCACTTTACGAAAAGGTAACATCAATCTAAAGGACTCAATTTATGAGTTCAAATTCCGACAGAAACAAAAAGCTAGGTGATTTCAATTAAAATTTCCTTATGATTAATGTTTCAAGAAATCTTCCAACTACTTGACTGACTCACAATAGATCAACAGAGCTGTAGAAACATGACTTTATAACCACTTGAAACATATTTAGATTTTACATATCATCTTGTCAGATATAATATCGCTTTTACCAAAAAAAAAAATCATCTTCAAGCTAAGAAAGTGTTCTGATAAAACATATATGAGAGTACAAAAAAGAAAAGCTCTTGATTTTTCTTTTTGATATTTATTTTGCCGTGTATACGGAGTTCGGACATACAATTTTTACAATTTCTTGAAAATCAATTTACATATTTAGAAACTATGAAAAAAAAAAAATATAAGTCATAAAAATTTACAATTTAAAATATCAAACACAAGAGTTGAACTATCTCATAGAAAACAATGATTATTATATAGGTTAATTTACCCTATGTAAAAAGAACTTATACACAGTTATCCATGTACAAAAGCATATACTCATTGGAGATATACAAGAACATCAACTCTTGAATCACCAATGAATAAACTAAAAATTAATTAAAAGGAGAACATCAAAACGTTTAAGAGCTAATTACTTAGATCACTCTAATTTATAATATTATGTATCTTATTAGATTTTGGTGCATCAATATATATTCAATTACATGTATCTCAAAATAAATGGGATCAAAATTAGATGTGATTTGTTCTAGATACATTGTATTCAAATAGATTTGCATGTATATTAATTGGATATATAACAAATATCTCTTGCCTCAAATCTCGCTCATCTTCCTTCCCATCTCACTCACCTCTCTCCCTATTTTAGTGTATCTAGTAGCAAAAATACATATATCTAAGTGTATCTTCCTCAATATATGATAGAAAACTCATAATTAGTGGTAAGATACGTAATATTTTGAAAGTATATATAATCACGGTATATATGATAGTGAAGTATATCTAATTATGTAGTTTCTCACTTTATTTTTTTATTTTCCATCTAGTGTTCTGTACCTGTAATGAAACTGAACTAATTTCGAATCCACAAGAAGTCCCAGATTGGGGTAAAACCTATCTAACAAAGACAACTTCGACTCCAATTTCATTCCGAGGGGAGAAATTTGATGGTATGGATGAAAAATTACTTACCACTCCATACTCGAAATTTGTTTATTGGGCTTTTGAAATATGGGCCAATTTTTTATGCCTACAGTATGTATAGACTATAGACTATAGAGTAATGAACAAACAAAGCAGTGCCAAATCTTGAAGAAGAATCAAGAATCAAGGTGCTATGAACCAGGCAGTACAGAAAAACACTCTGTACGTAGGTAATCTTTAACCCCCAAATCCTCTAATAAAGTTGAAAATTTGGTTCAATGTTATAGAAATTGGTTATCATTGTTACAGGAGGATTAGCAGAGGAGGTGAATGAGGCAATACTACATGCTGCGTTCATACCATTTGGGGATATTAAGGATGTGAAGACCCCATTAGATCATGCGACTCAAAAGCATCGATCTTTTGGGTTTGTAACCTTCCTTGAAAGAGAAGATGCTTCCGCCGCCATGGATAATATGGATGGTGCTGAGCTTTATGGACGTGTACTTACTGTTAATTATGCTCTTCCTGAGAAGATTAAGGGTGGTGAACAGGGTTGGGCTGCTCAGCCAAGTAAGTTTCTGATCTTTTCCCTAATTTTTCCCTAAATTTTAAATCTAGGGTTTTAGTCTCTGTTATTGTTTCATGAGCTTGTGTTGGGTCGGGTCGTGAGGTTCTCACTCGGGATAACCTTGCAATCTGTGCATAGCCCTCTATCGCGGCGCGTCGTGAGGAGTAGACAGTATAATGTAGAAGTAAAGAATACATGGACTGATAGGAGCTTTTGTGTCAATCACTTACATTTCTGTTGTTGTTAGACCGTCTTTAGCACTCATAGCTACAGTCCTAACTCGATTATTTCCTAATAATTGTAGTACCTCACAAGCCAAACAAACACCATCTCGACCTTGAACTACTAGAGCATTATAAATATTTGCCTGGGAAAGGTTACATCTTGTACCGGACTGATGATTTGGACGACCCATCCCAGGTTGTGGAAGGTCAGAAGTAGTAGGATTGATACTCATAATGATAAAATGAATAAATCTATCGGAATATTTTTTTTCAAAAATTATCTGTCTGCAGCTAACTCTTAGGACCAATTGCAATCTATTGAACTCCGGATTATGGATTCACCCTTCTACCCTTCATTTTCCCTCGAGAAATTGAAGTTTGTTATGCGCTACCCTTCTAATACTATAGTTTTTCAATGTGGTATGAAGTAAGGCGTTTAACTATCTTGATTTTGTGAATGATCTGTTATATAGGTGAAAAGAATTTCCACTTTTTTCAGTTACATATTATTAGTACCGTTTAAAGTAAGTTTTACCTCAACCTAGTATATCTGTAAGGCATGAGCTACCTGTGTTCTTACCGTATGCAATGTGTCAATTTTATCAGTATGCTACTAGTGCTGGAGCTAAATGCATGTAAAAATACTTTAGTGAACAAAGCTTGCCTCTCCTTTTCCCCTGAATCGCGGTGCCTCCCCCACCCCCCTTTTATTTTCTCCTTATATTTTGTCTCCTTAAGAATATTGTGAGCAAGAAGTAAGGAGCTAAAGATCCTTTATATTGATATGTTTTAGAGGGTATCTCCTCTCACTTTACATTCCTCTTCCATTTTTCCTTTGGAAAAATAAAAAATCAGAGGAAATACCTAAATCATGCTTGTGTTGACAAAATTTGGGAAGGGTTAAAGATCACGTGTCTACAATATTTTCTGGTGGGGAACCTCCTTTACTTTCTAATTCATAAGGTGGTATTTCTTCTCAAACCATGGTGCCATCGGAATAAGGATTAAGATCTGAATTTGAGGTAGCAAACATTTTTATAGTGGTAGTGTGCATGACGAGTTTAAGTTGAGTCATTTTCCTAATGGGTGGGGGCTGAATCATCATCCAAGCCACGCAGAAGTGCTAAAAAAAATTTAATCTGATTAATTTGATGAAAATGCTCTATCTTCTTAAGTTTCTGCTCTTTTCCCTAATTTTTCCCTAAATTTTAAATCTAGGGTTTTAGTCTCTGTTATTGTTTCATGAGCTTGTGTTGGGTCGGGTCGTGAGGTTCTCACTCGGGATAACCTTACAATTTGTGCATAGCCCTCTATCGCGGCGCGTCGTGAGGAGTAGACAGTATAATGTAGAAGTAAAGAATACATGGACTGATAGGAGCTTTTGTGTCAATCACTTACATTTCTGTTGTTGTTAGACCGTCTTTAGCACTCATAGCTACAGTCCTAACTCGATTATTTCCTAATAATTGTTGTACCTCACAAGCCAAACAAAAACTATCTCGACCTTGCACTACTAGAGCGTTATAAATATTTGCCCGGGAAAGGTTACATCTTGTACCGGACTGATGATTTGGACGACCCATCCCAGGTTGTGGAAGGTCAGAAGTAGTAGGATTGATTCTCATAATGATAAAATGAATAAATCTATCGAAATATTTTTTTCAAAAATTATCTGTCTGCAGCTAACTCTTAGGACCAATTGCAATCTATTGAACTCCGGATTATGGACTCACCCTTCTACCCTCTTTGTTTTCTCTCGAGAAATTGAAGTTTGTTATGCACTAAATTCCCTTCTAATACTATAGTTTTTCAATGTGATATGAAGAAAGGCGTTTAACTATCTTGATTTTGTGAATGATCTGTTACATAGGTGAAAAGAATTTCCATTTTTTTCAATTACATATTATTAGTACCGTTTAAAGTAAGTTTTACCTCAACCCTCAGGGGTTGGCCTGCTGGCAATTGACTTGAGCCTTGGGGTTTGCTCCCTTTCAAGGTCTCAAGTTCGAAACCCACTGGGTGCAAACAATTTCTGAGGGCCATCGGACTGGGTAAAACCTGAATTAACCGTGGTGCACTTGCGGGAAACTCCTTGCCGAGGGCCTGTGCACCCCCGGGATTAGTCGGGGCTCAAAGAGACTCGGACCCCCGGTGCAAATCAAAAAAAAAAAAAAAAAAAAAGTAAGTTTTACCTCAACGTAGTATATCTGTAAGGCGTAAGCTACCTGTGTTCTTACAGTATGCAATGTGTCAATTTTATCAGTATACTACGAGTGCTGGAGTTAAGTGCATGTAAAAATACATTTGTGAACAAAGCTTACCTCCCCTTTCCCCTCCACCGCGGTGCCACCCCCCTTTTTATTTTCTCCTTATATTTGGTCTTCTTAAGAATATTGTAAGCAAGAAATAAGGAGCTAAATATCCTTAATATTGATATGTTTTGAATTTTATGCAGCAAACATTTTTATAGTGGTCATGTGCATGACGAGTTTAAATTGAGTCATTCTCCTAATGTGTCGGGGCTGAATCATCATCAAAGCCATGCAGAAGTGCTAAAAGAAATTTAATTTGATGAAAATGCTCTTTTTTCTTGATGTCCATGGTGTCTGATTTATCATGAACGCCATATATAAGTGCTAAAGGAAACTATAATTTGATACTAGTTTTAGACTTGTTAGAGAACTTCTAATATTATTATTGTTGTTATTGTTATTAACATATTTTTTTCACTTTTATTTTATTTAGTATGATGATTTGAAATGAACTTAAATGAAGAAGTGTGGATTCATATATCCAATTCCAATTTATTTGGATTGAGGCATAGTTGTTACTGTAGTTTGATGAAAATGCGCTATATTTTTAGGAGAACTTGTTTGCACTAGTACCCACTCAGGTCAACTTTTGGCATCTCAAAGGAGCTGCTGGGTTGAGATAGTATTAGGGAAGCTTCTTATTACCTGTCATTTAGCATAGACTACTCTTATGCCCTCCTACATGAATTATCTAGTTGGTTTAAGACTTGATCTCTATATCATGGTTGGTATCTCATTTATCGAGGCCTTTCCGTTTGCTCTTGAGTAATTTGCTACATAGTTAGTTATTCTTCCCATCTTCTGTTTGTGCAACTTAAATTCAGTTGCGTAGTTTGAGCCCTATGATACATGGCAATACATTATGAACAGGTTAAGTGTATTGTCATGTAGCCCCAGGGCTGTGTTCAATGACAAATATAGTACAACACGTATAAGTTTATTTAAGGGGAGAAGGGTAGGAGAGAATCTTATCCACCAAGTTTCAGTACTATAATAGTGAATTTCTTTGTCATCCACAATAAATGGATAAATGTATTATCATGTTACTCGTATTCTTTAGTTGGAACTTGTCAAAACTTCCTGTGTGTCATCACACGTTCTTAAATTTATATTTTCCAGCTACATCTGTTAGATTAATTCTCTTGATGTCTTTTGTCAACTATGTTTATGAGTGATGCTAAAGAAGAAAAGAGGTCATTATCGACCAGTTGTAATTTGGAGTTGAATGCTAATTTGTTTATTTGATCATTCAGTTTGGGCGGATGCTGACACATGGTTTGAGAGGCAACAGCAAGAAGAGGAAATGAAGCGTCTTCAAGAAGAGCAGAAGGCTGCAATGCAGGTAGCGGAAGACTTGCATAGAAAAAAGATGGCTGAGGAAAGAGAAGGTGAAAAGGATGAAGACCCTATGGCAATGGCTGAAGCTGAGGTTTTGAAACAGAATGCTACTTCCTAATCATTTTGATGGCAGTAACTGTTTTACTCCACTAACTTCAACTTCAACTTCATGTTCGAGTTGTCAGATAACTATTTTTACTCTTCTATGGCTCAAGTTCACCTGTGTTTCAACCTACATAAGGTTTATATAGCTTTGCTGCTTTAGAAACCTATTGAAAAGCATGTATGTCCAGAGTCTTCCCTAGCGATGGCATCTAGGGGTGGACGTAAATCATCGAATGAAAATTGAATCACATAGCTGAATCTGAAATTTCTTGTGCCCAAGTTTGATTTACTGTATCGGAACTAGGGGTGTTTATTGGTCGATTCAGTCAGGTTTTTGGTTAATCGATTATTGACTTAAGTATGCTAAATCGATAACCAAATCCAATGAGCAGTCTTTCAACGGTTTGGTTTCTATTGTTGCAAGTAAGAAGGGGATACATTAAACGTATTTTACCAAAATTCTTTTTCACTCGCGATCTTTTTGAAAAGCAAAATAGATGCTTAACAAGTCCGTTCAAGGCATACATCGCCAACCTCAACATTTGTAAAGATTGATTTACAAAATTGGAATTACATTGTTTTCATTTTATAACAAAATATCTATATTATTGTAACAATTTTGTGATAATATCCAACCATAAGATAAAATCACAACAATTATTAAGAAATCCAAGAATGAAAAAGAACAAAAACTAATATATCATATTCTTTATAATATATTTCTCAGTCTTTTCCTCTAGGATTCAAATGACTTAGAAAAAGTAATTAATTGCCATGTGAGTGCATGTTAAGGCCAGACAGAAGATGCGCAATTAGCTGTGGGACAATGAACGTGGCTAATACTCCTCTAATATTGTAACATTTAATTTCGACATAATATATAAATATGTTTTTAACTGGATCTTAACTGATATTTATAATAGATATACGCATTCTACGTGACATAATACACATAGGACGTGTGTGTCTGCTTATTCACCTCTATACAAATTTAAGTATTTACTTGTACATACTTGAAATTAGAGGACATAAATATCAAATGAGATTAAGTTAAAAGACACATTTATATATTAAGGTTTTAACTTTCCATTCCAGCCTCTAATTTTTTTCCCTAACACCAAAACTAAACACTCTGTACTATTGCATCAATCAACTGCAGAGTTTAAATGTATTAATATCATGTATAATTCAATTTAGAATTTAAAAAAAAATCTATCTACACTATGAATTATTTTGTTTAAAATCCATATAATCAAACTTGTTTGTGAGTTTTCAAATGCTTTCACACATTATTTCCATCTCATATAAAGTAGACGTAAAATTATTATTCCCTCCGTCCATTTTATGTGGTATTTTTTAGATTTCGAGATTCAAACAATTTATTTTTGACCGTAAGTTTTTCATAGATCTTTAAACATTTTGAATTATCAATTATTGTGACTTATAGTATTTTTTATGTAGTTTATAAATATATAAATTTCATTTTAAAAAAAATTGAAGATGTCATGTGTAAATTGGCGATTAAACTTAAACTGTTTGACTCTCGAAAAACGAAAAGTAACATACAAATTGAGACAGAGGAAGTACATAAATTAAGTCATAATTTATACACATTTTATTTACTATGAACTAATTTACCGCATGTGTTATGAGAGACTCTTGTCTTATATCCCTAATAAAAATGACTCAGTATTTTACAGATTCAAACTAGAAAAACTACTTACCATTCTACTACGATCTTTATCGATGGATAACATTATTATTGTTTACTAGTACTACTAGTAGTTGTGATTTATTTAAAGCTAATTATATTACCTGTGAAGAAAGTCAATTTGAAATGTGAGAGTTACACATTTCACTTGTAAATTCAAATATATAAATGCATAACAGTAGTGTATTAACTGGCTACACTCTGTCTCTTTCGAATATGCCATTAAAATCCCCTTTTTTCTTCCTATTCACAACTTACAAACTTTGTCTTTCTATATTTTAGTAGCCGTCCACGTGGGATTTGAAATTAGCATTTGAATATATAATTTCATCTTATGAGAAAAAGAGTGTGTTTGAATGTGTACATTCTTAATTGGATTGATTTTTAATCAAATCATGAATATACTGTATATTTCAAATGTGTTATCAATTCACACTGACTAAGAATTTCTGGTTGAAAACCAACAATTTTAATGATCTATCTCCATCACGATGAAATTTCAAAAATTATTCAGACTTATCGATCAACACTATAAACTTGTTGAATACATTAATGTAATGCGCATGAGGTTCAGAATATCTAAGGGCATCACAAACCTGTTATATATTGCCTCAAACTTCCGCGGCTAAAATGGTCGTAGTCCCTCTAAGAAGTTGGCCGCTAATAGTGGCGGAGCCACACTCCTTCATCAAAAAATTACATTATGTAGTTAGATAAAAATAAATTTTTGATGTATAATTCTACGCGATTTTATTTCTCTATAATACTCCAAAGAAGAAGAGGTCCGTCAACGTTTGTAAGTCGTTGGCAGCTGGAAAAAACTTTAATAAAAAATGAAGAAAATTAAACCTTCTCCTACTTTTCTTTGGTGACTCATTTGTCATCTTTTGATTATTAATATAACAGTAATTTCCAAACTTATTTAGGAATATATATGAATTTGTATGATTTCTTTTTTTTTTAGTAAATAGGATTACGTATTGAATATTGAATTTTGGGTTTGGTAAATATTGAAAAATTCAAAAATGCAATACCTTATATTTATCCTTACTAAATAGTTCATATATCCAATATTAAGTTAAATACCCTACTAAATAGTGAAACAAAATTCAAGAAAGATTTTCAAATAAATGGAGTATTTATCATAATTCAAATAACATTCTTTTCGTCTCAACATTTCTGTTAATTTCTCGAATGTTAATTTGATTAATTATGAATTTAAATGAAATTATATTAAAGTATGATTAAAATTATAAAAATTAAACTTTATTTAATTCATATCTAATTAGGATTTATAGTTATTTGTAAGGTTATTGAATTCATGTGTAATTAGGACTTATAGTCAAAATTTGTATAAAAATAGATTTTCCTATTTCGAATTAAAGTAGGTTTTCTACCGTTATAAATAGGGTGTTTTGTACCTATATTTTTTCATAATAACAAATTCTCTTGTCGGTAAAAAATTAATATAATTTTCTCTTATCAATTGACACGTTTCTAAGGTAATTGAAGTCAACAATACTATTACAAGCTGTTTTTCCGTCCTTAAATGTAGATTTCGAGTTTTTTTTTAATCTTAAATATACAAATTTAATTGGACTTTAATATAAATAACGATATTAAAATAGGAAAAGAGAAAAAGAAAAGAATAGTCTTTCTATAAATATATATCTCATCCCAATTTTCTTTCTCACTTCAAGAACCGTTTTTTTCCTTCTTTCAGATCCATTGTTGCTATGGCAGGATCTTCAGTGACACCAACGCCATTGCTGAAGGATGAGCTTGATATTGTGATACCGACAATCAGAAATCTTGATTTCTTGGAGATGTGGAGACCCTTTTTCCAGCCATATCATCTCATCATTGTTCAAGATGGTGACCCTTCAAAGATCATTAATGTTCCTGAAGGATTTGATTATGAGCTTTATAATCGTAATGATATTAACAGGATTCTTGGACCAAAGGCATCTTGTATCTCTTTTAAGGACTCTGCTTGTAGGTGCTTTGGGTATATGGTGTCTAAGAAGAAGTATATCTACACTATTGATGATGATTGCTTTGTGAGTATAAAGTCAATTTTGCATCTTTTTTTTGTGGTTTATGAGGTTTTTGTGTTGTGGGGGTTGGGAAAAATTGGATCTTGATGAGTTTTGGATGTGGGGTTACCTTTTTCTTTGTGATTACTTAAGTTTGCTTTGTGGGTGTTGATAAAAATTGGATCTTGGTGTTTTATTGTTAACTTTTTGTGTTTTGAATTTGGTGCTGACTTGAGGTTTTGACTAGGGGTTTGAAAGAGTAAAAAAGTGTTGAATTATGTTAGCTGGTTTATGATTTGTTTTGGATCTGGTAAGTTTGTGTTTTTGTTTTATTTGGATTTAGGAGATCTGATTGAGGATCTTATGATCTGTAACTATATTGTGTTTGGAGATCCTTTGATAGCTTAAATCTCTTCTTTTGTTAAGTTGACATTGTTAGTTTATAGGACAATTTGTTTTATGTTTTGCATTTTTTTTGTTCTTGCATAGTTTTTAAAATAAAGGGAGCAACTTTGATCTTGATGTATGTGAGCTAGATCTTGCAGTGGCTTCATGTTTTCCTGGCTTATTGGCTGAAATAAGGTTTTGATTGTTTCATACTGTTTGAACTTTGAAGCTATATGTAATGTAATTATGCTATATTACTTAATGATACACCTCCTTTTAGAATTGAGTGTTATTATGTGATGATCTTTGTTGATTGACTTTGTCCCATGCAATGATTGAACCCTTTTTAAAATAATGCCTTCCTATCTAAGGGATGATTTACTAGTAAAGAGGAAGTCTTCCATCTTAGGCCCATATATTTGGCTTGTGTCACACTTTTTACCAGTTTTTCCAATCACTGCTTACTCCATAGATGTGCCATATGGTTTTTGGACCTTTTATCTAGAACAAGAACAAATTTTTGAGCTGCCTTAGTATGATTTTTTGACAATCCAACGAAGGGGTTCGATTGATCATTCGTGAATCTCACTTCTTACTATGGTTCCAATGCCTTGATCTGATAGTTTATTTTGTCTATCATTCATTTAATCATATGTTGAACTCTTGTTGCTTGCTGATGTGCAGGTGGCCAAAGATCCTTCTGGCAAAGACATCAATGCTCTTGAGCAGCACATAAAGAACCTGTTATGTCCTTCCACTCCACATTTCTTCAACACTCTGTATGATCCATACAGAGAAGGAGCAGATTTTGTTCGTGGATACCCTTTCAGTATGCGTGAGGGTGCGGCCACAGCTGTTTCTCATGGACTTTGGCTCAACATCCCTGACTATGATGCACCTACTCAACTTGTTAAGCCACGTGAGAGGAACACGAGGTATGAACTTTTCCCATAAATCAAATCTTAGAGCTTATTGAATTAGTTAACATTTTAAAATCTGTACAATTTCCAGATATGTGGATGCTGTCATGACAATTCCTAAAGGCACTTTGTTCCCTATGTGTGGAATGAATTTGGCATTCGACCGTGAGCTGATTGGACCTGCAATGTACTTTGGCCTCATGGGTGATGG